GTGGTTAGCACTACCGCCTCATAGCAAGAATTTCACTGGTTTAAGTTGCGGCTGGGCCAGTTGGCATTAGTTTGGAGTCCATGTTCTCCCTTTGTTGGCGTGGATTTCCTCAGGGTGTTCCAGTTTCGCCCATATTCTAAAGACATGTGGTATAGGGGAATTGAATAAACTAAATTGGCCGAAGTGTATGAGTGTGTGTATGTGAATGAGTGTGTATGGGTGCTTTCCATTACAGAGTTGTGGCTGGAAGGGCATCCGCTGCGTAAAACATATGCTGAAATAGTTGGTGGTTCATTCCGCTGTGGTGACCCTTGATTAATATGGGACTAAGTTGAACGGAAAATGATTGAATGAGTGAATCAGGGCTTAATTTGTCCCGAAACATGTCGGATCTGGATCTGGCACCTCTAAAATCTTATCCATCCTTTCTGACCCCTATAACCTGCTCTTCACTTTTGTCACAATTTACAAATTAAGCACTGGAGTGAATAAACATCATACATATTATTTAGTGTAGAATTACTACATTGTGTTGTGTATTGTACAGTATGTTATCAACTGTAAAAACTACATTGCTTTGTTAGTCTTTCACACTAATCCGATTTTTGTTTTTAATATATATTTTTTAATTTAATATTTTAATTTTAATTTTTAGGGGGTATTTTAAGGAGTAAATACATTTATTTTAATATTTTCTAAAAAATGTACCATAGGCTCATTGTGAATACACAGCCTTGCATACATTTCTGGAGAGCGTAAATTATGTAGCCAGAGGTATATCTTTAAAATGAGCGACATGGCGTATGATGGCGCAGATGGCTTTTATTTCTTTTTGCTGGCCCCTTACTTCCATGTTGACAGCTTTTCTGCTGTTATCAGTGGCTCAGCGCGTACGTCGGCGGACTTGAGATGCAGAGCGGGGTTAACCCCCATGACTAGGCAGAGTCTGGCAAAGAATGGTTCCAGAAAGCAGGTGAAACAAATAGCAAAAAATAAAATAAACAAGTAAATAACAGGGTGAGAATGTGGTTAGATATGAAAATGTGGTAAAAATCAGTTTGTCGCAAGTTTTTTTTTCTGGATTGCTTTTGGAAACACTGTTGGTTGGGTTTAGGGAAGGCGATGGGTGGGGGTAACAGTTGGTCATTTGGTCAGTCACTCAACAGTGGCTTCTGGTGGATTTACACTAGACATTTGAAATCTGAACAAGCATACACAGTGGCCTCTGGTGCATTTACACACCAAAAAAACCCATAAAACAAATAAACACAAAAACTGCAAAAAAAAAATTAAAACGTAGCTCCTGGGACATATTTTGCACTCTCCAAAAATATATACAGAGGTAAGTATTAATAATTAGCCTGGGTTGTAAAAAATTATATAGGCACAATTTTCATTTTTTTTTTTTACCTCCAATGTATTATTTATATAATTCATTATAGAACAGGGCCGGTGTCCTGCAAAGTATAGTTCCAACCCCAATAAGACACACTTAGACTAGCTAATCAAGCTCTTACTAGGCTTTCAAGAAATTCCTTGCTGGTGTGTTGAGGCATGTTGGAGCTAAAATCTGCAGGACACCGGCTCTCCAGGATTGAGTTTGGAGTGTGGCAATGATTTTCTTAAAATCTATCTTACAGCATTCTCTTGATGTCAGATCTGCTTGTAAGATTCGCTTAAAACATGTACTTTTTTTCTAGCACAACAATACTATATTTAATACTACACTACCGCTATCATGCATGCGCAGACACACACTGACACACACACAAACACTCTTTGCTGTGTCCCTGTGCTGAATGATGTAATGTTGTTTACACCATCTAAAAGCTTTGTTCTTCATCCCATCTCCCTCTGAGGAGTAAACACTCCAGTCTGGATATACTATTCTGATCACTCGTGTGATGTCACTTTATTCCAGAAGGCAGAAGTAATTCCAAGATTTTCTAATCAATCAATCAGATCCTTTCATATATGCACACATTTGAGATCTATTCTCACAGTGCTTCAACTCTATTTCTTTTTTCAATGCTTATTTTACTTGATCCGCAAAAAACACCTTCAGAAATGGCCCTGCAAGTAAATCCCATTTCTACCTCATCTCCCTGGAGAAGCATCTCAGCCACAGATTAATAATGAACAAAAATAAAAAAGCAGGTAGACATATTGATTTTAATCTATTCAGACTTCACTCTCATTTTCTTTCTCCTGCTTTATTTTTTTTCGAACAGTAGAGAGGATGAATGTGAAACGGGTTCAAGAGAAGAGAGTAAGGAGGACCAATCGCACCATTACCCCCTGTTCCTATAACCTGATCTCAATTTCAGTCCTCATCTGTCCCCTCTTTACTCTCCATATGTTGGGAAATGCTTGACTTGGCACATTGATTTGTGGCCAGTTTTCTCTAACAACGAACAAGCCTTGACCTCATCGGGATCAAATGAGAAGCTGAACAAGACAGGGACATTATGCATTAAGAAACATCAAAAAAGTATTTGTTAAAGGAAAAGAGGAACTAAATAATAATACTTATTTTATTTACACAATTAAAGACATAAAAAATGGTTCCAAAATGGATTTGCAGTGAGGCCTTACAGTAGAAAAATCATTATTTGTTTCCCAAAGAAGCTTTTAGTAAACTCCATTTTTGTTCATGTTAAAAATATTTGATTTGGTAAATGACCTATTTAACACAAGAAGTGGAAAGGTTATTTGGCAAACAATGCCAAAAAGAACTTTTATTTGAATACAGTAAGTGCTGATATAAATTATATAAAACACTTTAGTAATGTAGCCTTTGGAAATCCTGTTGAATGTCATTCAAATCTTGATGTCCTCACAACAAGCAGAAAAGATGGGTCTTAGTTTGCTTCCAAAACAGTAAATAAATAAATAAACACACTGATATGGTTCAACTGCAATATTTACCAATAACTGCTACCACTGAGCAGGGGTGCGTTTCCCAAACAATCACATAAATAGTGGCTGAACTATTTTAGTACGATGCATCGTTTAGGAAAAGATCGATATAGTGACGAGTGTTTCCCAAAACCATAGTTTCCTACGTCGCAGATCCATCCTTTGAACCACGTTTAAAATAACAAAATAAATAAATAGCTTACTATAAATTTAAACCATTAACATATGCTATATATTTTTGTTTTCACAAGCTTTGGAGACATAACCTAAATTCCGCTTTTGAATAATAATGTCCCCTATAGCTTTTGTCATGAGCCATGGCTGCGTTCAAAATGACATGAATGTTTTAAAAGTGCACTGTGAAGGGAGGGCCATTTTCAACATGAAGATCACTAAAACCTAACTGTAAAAAAATACTTGTAAAGCAAGTTACACCAAAGAGAGATGACTTTATTGTTTTTTTTTTAAATATTCCAAGTTTAAATGGTGGACGTTCGAAAGGAATAGGGCATAGGGGGACTAGAACACAACCAGGAACTATGCTTTTAACTACAGCTCTAGAGATGCAGTTGCAAGTGCACAAGTTTGTGATACAGTTTGCTAATGTTCTTGGAACAGTGGAATTGGGATTGTTTGTAACAACGCAACTTGTGACCTTAGTTGGCTAACGATGGTTTTCGGAGATGCACCCTAGTACGGTTTGGTACATACAGCTGGAGTTCACAAACTTTTTAACCTGCGACCCCTAAAATAACAATGTCACTCACGATTCCCATTTTTCTCGAAGGTGCACACACAACAATAGGCCTATCTAAACTTGAGCATATAAAAACCACAAAAAACAGTCTAACAACCATATAATTTTTTTGTCAGTTATTAATTAGATTAATTTCATATTAACCTCAAATCTCGTATTTTTTATGTATTAGAGTGCCACAATAGTTTTCAGAAAATTGATTTGTGGTTAATCTAAACACCCCAGGGGTCGCAATCCAATGGGAAAAAATAGAAAAGCTGTTTGATATTAATTTGTATGTTGTTGTTTTTTAACACAACTATGAACTATCTTCTGTGGATTATGGATAAAATATGGTAATTCTAATAGTTTAATATATATATATATATATATAAATTAAATCACCAACTGACCCCGCATCATTGTCCCACAACACACACTTTGAGAACCACTACAGTACAGTAAGGTATGTAATGCATTTCTTTCCATTTTCATTGTAAGAAGTAAAAATATAAAACCGTATTGTATTAAATTTTTTGGCACTCAAATTTTTGGTACCTCTGGTGAATGCTATTGGTTTACAGAAAACGGTCTCCAGCGCATTCAAAGAGCCAGGGAAACAACACAGAAAGCTCCATTTTTTTAAACAGGAAACCATAAAAAGGGCTGACTCTGGCTTATATACAGTTTTGACTGTTGATTAATGAGCACTGTCTCTAATTCAATAAATATTAAAATAATAATTATTATTATTCCCTACATTAAAATGGCGCTTTTCTAGACACTCAAAGCGCTTTACACATTGGGGGGAATCTCCTCATCCACCACCAGTGTGCACCATCCACCTGGATGACATGACGGCAGCCATATTGCGCCAGACCACACACCCCACATCAGCTGATTGATGGAGGGGAGACAAAGTGATGAAGCCAATTATGATAGGGGATGTTTAGGAGGCCATGATGGACAGAGGCCAGAGGGCAAAATTTTGGCTAGAATGCCAAGGTTAAACCCCTACTGTTTTTCGAAGAACATCCTAGGATTTCAAATGACCAAAGAGAGTCAGGACCTCGGTCTCATCCGAAAAACAGGGCTCACTGACATTATAGTGTCCCCTTCACTATACTGGGGTGTTAGGACCCACAGAGATCGTAGATTGAGTGCCCCCTGCTGGCCTCACTAACCCGATTTCCGGCAGCAACCTAACTTACCCATGTGGCCTCTCATCCAGGTACTGACCAGGCGCAGCCCTGCTTAGCTTCAGTGGGCGACCATGTGAGAGTTGGAGAGAACTAGCTATTTATTTATATATAAATAAATAAATTAGCTTAACTAAAAGTTTATAATAATGTGCTACAAGTAATATGCACTTAGATTTAATCATTGTCAATCATATTTATAGACCCAATACATGCATACCCAGTGCATAATTAGAGCATAATTAATACTGCACACACCTACACACACACAAAGTGATACAACTGATTAGTTCCTTGCTCTTTTTTTGTGGGTGTGAAGATAACTTCATTTCAAGGATTCTGTTGACAAATGTCCAGCCATAAATAAATAACAAGGAGGGCACAGTAGGGAATTGACAGAATAATATAATCCACACCACGAATCAAGTGACAAAATGAAAGTATCTCTATATATGAGATGAACTGGGTTTTATAAGTTCTTTGCCCTCCTCGTGAAATTAAGGGCATGATTCATCCAATATCGCCGTAATTTTCTGCACCTCTTGACATGGATGTTCCTCCGCCTTTCATTAATAAGATCTGTAACTAAATCAACCATTTCATCACCCTGCAGACCTCATGTGCTATTAAATTCATCTGCTCCCTTCTACCACTTAAGTGAACAGTGCAAGTCGCCACATCCATGCTAAACACAGCAGGTGGAATAACACAATATGTTTTTTTCCCATAGATGAAACACTCGTGGGAGGAGAGGAACACAGCTGGAGGCGTCGGTCGCGCACACAGGACTGAAAAGTGTCTAGACTGACCAGCTCTCTAATCCTACACTCACTTTCATGCGGATTACGGTGGGTTGAAAGAGAAAGAAAGAAAGGGCTAGATGTGATAAACAGAGGAGGGAAAGACAAGACAATAAGGAAGAAAAATAGCTCTGCGGTGAGGCTCAATTAGGGGAGAGAGAATCTCTTTAATGTAACAATGTGTGGTAAAAGCACACCGGCTTGAGCGCAGTAAAATCCCATTTATTCATGGAGTATTAATTTGTATGAGTTTTTTACGCACCACTGACTTGTTTGTGGGAAGCCAAATAAATTTGGACTTTAATAAGTAAATGGCGACTATGGCTTGACTTGAGTTGCAAAACTTGTTTTGTTAGAACTCAAAAGCTCTGCTCTTTATGTATAAAATGTGTTAAAATGTTTATATATATATATATATATATATATATATATATATATATATATATATGTGTGTGTGTGTATAAAGAGTAAACTAAATGTTAACATTTAATGAGCATTAATGTATAATATATCAAAGATGAAACAGAAAAGCCTGAGTTTTGTTGTTAGTACACAAATACTTCAATAAGAAAAAAGGCAACATCATAATGTTTTTATACAATGTGCTTCTTGAGTTTGTTCATTTTACTTTTACATTATAAGTATACACTTTAAAAATAATAAAAAAATCTTAAAATAAATCCACAAAGAACCTTTAAAATTATTTCAATTACTTTACTTTATATTAAAATGAAAAAGATTGCGAGTAAAAATTAGTAAACCATTTTAAAAATTTTGAAGTTCGACCCCAAATCAGAAAATGTTAGAACAGTATGGAAAACCCAAATAAATAAAGAAAGTAGTGATTTCCAAATTATTGAATTGTATTTCATTGCAGACAATATGAACACCAAATATCTCTTGTTTTGTCTGGTCAACTTCATTTAATTTGTAAATATACATCCTTTCCTGTCATTCAGACCTGCAACACATTCCACAAAAAGTTGGGACAGAAGTAGTTTGAGGCTAGTTATCAGGTAAATTGGTTAAATAATGATGTGATTTAAAACAGGTGATGTCAACAGGTGAGTTCAATTGTGATTCGGTACAAAAGCAGCATCCAAGAAAGGTCTAATTCTTTAGGAGCAAAGATGTGCAGAGGATCGCCAGTTTGCCAACAAATCCATGAGAAAATGATTGAAATGTTTAAAAACAATGTTCCTCAAAGAAAGATAGGAAGACATTTGGATATTTCACCTTCAACAGTGTATAACATAATTAAAGATTAAAGAAATCTGGAGGAATTTCAGTGTGTAAAGGACAAGGGCGCAAGCCTAAGTTAAATTACCGTGATCTCCGATCCCTCGGGAGGCATTGAATCAATAATCGTCATTCATCTATAAGCAATATCACCACATGGGCTCAGGACTACTTTGGCAAACCTTTGTTAAGTACTACAGTATGTAATTGCATCCACAAATGCCAGTTAAACTGTACTGTGCCAAGAAGAAGCTCTATGTTAACAGTGTCCAGACATGCCATTGATTTCTCTGGGCTTGGAGGCGTCTGGGATGGACCCTTACACAGTGGAAATGTGTACAGTGGTCAGATGAATTGGTATTTCAGGTATTTTTTTTGGGTGAAAGGGACACTGTGTGCTCCAGACCAAAGAAGAGAAGGATCATCAGACTGTTACCAGCAACAAGTCCAGAAGCCAGGGTATGGTATGGGGTTGTGTTTGTGCACTTGGCAAAGGTAACTTGCGCTTCTGTGATGGCACCATTAATGGCGAAAAGTACACAGAGGTTTTGGAGTACAATACTGCCTTCGGTTCCAGGGATGCCCATGTGTATTTCAATAAGACAATGCAAAACCACATTCTGCACCATTACAAATTCCTGGCTGCGGAGGAAGATGATACAGGTACTTCACTAGCCTGCCTTTAGCCCCAACCTGTCTCCAATAGAGAATATGTTGTGTATTTTGATGCACAAACCGCGACAATGAAGACACTGTACTTTGGCCCATCTTAAGGCTTGTTTGCAGGAAGAATGGGACACAATTACACCTGAAACACTTCATCACTTGGTGTCTTCAGTCCGTAAACCTCTTTTAAGTGTTGTGAAAAGGAATAGCAACATTACAAAGTGGCAAATGTTTTATTGGTCCAACTTTTTTAAATGTGTTGCAAGAACCAAAATTGGAATATGTGTTTATTTAAAAAATAAAAACCACGAGAAAAACATTTAAAAAAATGTTTGTTGTATTGTCTGCAATGAAATACAAGTGAAAGTAAATTTAGAAATTTTTTTTGGAAAAAAAAGGAAAAATTTACTTGCGTCATCCATACTGTCTCAATTTTTTCTGATTTGTGATTGTAGAAAAACGTAACGATTTTCGTTTAAAAAGATTCGTTTTATTCACAATTTCTATTAACTATTTTTATAATGTACATGTGAACAAAAAGAGTTTGAGAATTTATTTAATTGTGTGTGTGTGTATGTGTGTTTCAAAGAAGAAAGAAAAGCTTGAAGATTTAATTGAGATTATGGTGAGTTTCTAATATTTTTTTAAGTACAGTTGAAGTCAGAATTATTGGTCCCTCTTTGAATTTCGTTTTCTTTTTTAAATATTTCCCAAATGATGTTTAACAAGGCAAGGAGATTTTCACAGTATGTCTAATAATATTTTGTCTTCTGGATTCAGCTAGAATAAAAGCAGTTTTTAATGATTTAAAATTCATTTTAAGGTATAAATTATTAGCCCCTTTAAGCTATTTTTTCTTGATAGTCTACAGAACAAGCCATCGTTATACAATAACTTGCCTAATTTCCCTATCCTGCCTCATTAACCTAGTTAAGCCTTTAAATGTCACTTTAAGCTGTATAGAAGTGTCTTGAAAAAATATCTAGTAAAATATTATATCCTGTTCTCATGGCAAAGATAAAAATAAATCAGTAATTAGAAATTAGTTATTAAAACTATTTTGTTTAGAAATGTGTTGAACAAATCTTCCCTCCGTTAAACAGAAATTGGGGAAAAATAAACAGGGGGGTTAATAATTCTGACTTCAACTGTATATATATATTTGAAATATTTTTCAATACCATATCCTCTTGATGTTTACTGTTTTACTTTTCCTGTAGTATCAGTGTGTATTAAATATGACAAATAGAAAAACCAAACATAAAACTCATTCATTTAAACTAGAGGCCATTCGGGGTATAAAAAGCATTCACTGCACATGTTCAAGGAACAAAACATAAATGCTTTTAATAGTTTTATTGGTGAATAGGCCTAGAGACAGCAATCAGAATGAGAAAGCTGTTATACACTGTGTAATGGGGCATTCACTGTGATTTATCGCTGGGGGTTACCAAATGGCTGTATTGTTGGTCATAGTGCATTGTTTTTTTGACTGTTGGATGCCCTGATGCCATAAGTGAAATGACAACAGGCAAAATTGATCACAAATCATGATAGAATATAAAGTATTTTGTTTTATTTTTGCAGCATTGCAGAAGGGAAACCGGGTCGTATACTGTATAAATTGCTCCAGCGATTATAATCATAACTCATATAGGGCGAATGTGTGTGAACAGTATGTGTTTTTTTTTTTATAAATGGTCAAGGTTTGACTGGTCAGCTAATTCTAATTCCAGGTCTAATCAGCCCCTACTGGTTCATTGTGTATCTACACCATGGTGTCGGTTTCTTTCTTGTGCTGTTAGCAATGTAAGCGTCTGGCTGGCCGGTGTGTTTAAAGAGACCTAATGGATGATTAGCAGGGTGATAAAACAAAAAAAGGACAAGAGCACCGCTTTAGGCAGCAGATGGCAAATAGCTGTGCAAAGAAAAGAAAGAAAAAACTGAGCAACTGAGTCAGAGCTTAAGGTTGCATAAAGAGAAGTGGATGAGAGAGGAAGAGGAGTAGTGAGAGAATGACAGGGATCCATTGGAGGGGAACCCACGTGGGCTTTCCGATTTGGAAAGAACTGCTACGATGCTGACAAGTGCAGAGCCAGATGAGGACAGGTAACACCTCCAAAATCTTATTACACTGAACAAATCTAAACGCAGAGGCTGACAGCACTGGATGATGGTGCGTAACATAAAGGAACAGATTGCACTCCACAAATCATAATTTAAGATGTGTGACTATTAGTCCCTGGGCCAGATTTACTAACAGCTTGTGCCAGTGCAAACCCTTTTTTGGTGTTAAAAACCTATTGTCAGGATTTACAACAGACATGCGGCAAAAAGAAAATGAATTAATTGTTGGAGATTCCCTTTCAGATGCTGAATTTATGCTAGGATGGTATTTAAAGGGGTAGTTCACCCAGAAATGACATTTCTGTCATAATTTAGCCTACAGTACTAATAATCTCTCTTCAGGTGTTCCAGTTTAAGTTCCTAGATGGTTTGAGTTTCTTTCTTCTGTATGACACAATCTGGGCTTTTTCTTCTGTTTTATATCTATGTTTTTATAGATATATTTAAAATGTTCCAAAGTTTATTTTTTTTATATCTTCTGCATAACTTTTTTCTGCTATCCTTGTATGTTTTGAGTGTAAAGTGCTTTGAGAATTAAGTTTTTAAAGGCACTATTAAAATAAATAATAATAATAATAACAAATGTATAATATTTATTATTATTATTATCATTATTATTATTATTATTATTATTATTATTATTATTTTTTTAATTTTTTTTATTTTTTTTTTATTATTATTATATAATAGGTCCCAGATCACCAGTTACTATGCACAAAAATGGGAAGTTAATCTCATATTAAAGCAATGTTGTTGTAAAAAAAGATAATTAAACAATATTGACAAAAATAACTGTAACTGTAATAACTGTAAGCAAAAGAAAGCTGGTAAAAAAAAAAAACATACCGCGTGTGATAATGAAAGGATGATCACGCGCACATGGTTAATGTTAGGCCTGTTAACAATCTGTTCAAAGAATAGTTAGGTGAAAAAGCAGCAACCGCTACTGGTTTATATATATTACTGGTATACTGGTATTTTGTGTTTATTATTATTGTGAGTATGGCGGCATAGTG